ATATGTTTAACAAAATTAATTAAAACCTAGAAACCAAAACTAGTTAGGTTAGATAAAATTTCAATGAAACAATTAAATAAAGCATTTCTGATTATCACTCTTCGATGAGAGCATGTAACATAAGCAGTTTGATACAGCAGTTTGAAAGCAGATGTGAAAAGGTTAGAACTCTCAAGTAGTTCCAATAAATAATAATAACTATCTATTACAATTTCCAGTCATTCTGTAAAAAAAGTAGGCATTCTTGATTATTCTAATTCATATTTTGCAATCTTTCATTTTACTGTACACTGATGTATTTGCTACAGTTAGTGTTAGGGTAGAGAAGATAAGAGATAAGGTACAAAGTTCTAATGAAAAAAATCTAGAGGTTAAGCAAATGAAATATGAACACTATAAGATGAAAAAAAGTATTTTTATTCTCAGCATTAAAACCACCTTTCACACAGAATGACTCAGTAAAGACTTCATAAATTCACAGACAAATCTTCAGTAAACAGATCTTATTAAAATATCTGATACTTTGTGTACAAAAGACTTGTAATTTTCACTAAAAGCTTGCCAAATTTCATGAAAACACACTTAGTACATTCAGGGTTATAGTATTTATAGTTTCATGGTTGGTCTAAATGACAGAGTTCATATACAGAGCTAAGTAATGCTACAATATTACAGAACAAATGATTACCTTTGAGTTACAAGAGTTCTGTCCTTGGTTTCAAATCGTTCAAACCAAATGTGTGCAGTTGCTCGTCCTAAAGCTCTCTGCAAGAATCCTAAGAACCCTCCCTGTCGTTGTCCAACCTAGAATATGTTACTAAGATTACTCATGAACAGTAAAAAAATGGGTCTATAGCAGAAAAAATCCTTATCAAAATAAAAAAAGTAATAAAACTGAATTAATACATTACCTGTATTGAAAACACCACCTACCTGTCCTGTGAAAGGAAACTGTTTTTAAATGAAAAATTAATAAAAATGACCAACAAAATAATCTTATTTACTACAGAAACTAGCAAGGTGACTCATAAAGAAACTTTTTCAAACTGAACAGACAACCAAACTGATCTTAACTAATTGAAAAATCCACCTAATTTACCTAAAAAATGAAACTTCCACCAAACTGACTTATGAAATGACCTCTACTAAGTGAAGAAGTGACCAAAGCATCTTACCAAGGCATAACAATTGTTACTAGCAAGCATAACAACGTCAATAGGTGAAGTGTGATTGGCCACACAGATTCCACCTCCTTTCGCTCTGTTTTCACTAAAAAAGAAAAAAATAGATTGCAAATATGTGGTAGTTCAAATAAAATAACACATGCCACTCATTCTTTGATTATAGTTATAATTATTGAAAAAGAGGGAAACTAGGATATAACTGCAAATTTCTGACCTGTTGTGGTACTTGACAACTGCTGAAATGGCTTGAGACAAAATACGGAAGCACATCAAACTTATATGCCAATACATCCACCGTTTTAGCCTAAAAGACAAAGTAGTGTTTTTAAATCTATGTAGCACCTTACTTGTACAGTCTCTAATACTAAAACATATATCACCTCACTGAACATAATCTTACTACAAAACAGAACAAAATGTCAGTTATTTTTCATTTTGCTGAAGGAAGGCTTTAGATTCTTCATGAGAATAGTCTCCTTTATTCTTAACTTATGCTCATTGCAAATCTACATTTTGTGACAATCCAATTTCATCTAATGATTTTCAAAATATCCCTTTTCTGGCACACTTAAAATTATCAAGAAATACAAAACACATCTTACCTGTCACTTCATACCCAGCCATTTAGGAGCAACAAAAGAAACCAGTAATTATTTAACTCGTTAAAACAAACAGATAGAAACAATTAAATTTCAATGAGAAAACATCATAACTAAATGTATTAAAAGAAAAGCAGGAAACTTGTTTAATATTATGAAAAAATGTGAAGTAATGTTTTTCATGCAAATAAGAATTTTCAACAAAATTAAAAAAAAAATGTCAACCCATTTTGTCATTAAATATTTTAAAAATAATTTCACAGGAAAAGCATATAAATAAACACATTTTTGCACAAATATTCTATGGTTCATAAAAAGCAATTTTACTAACAGTCACCACTGAAAAAATTAGGATATATTTACATATGAGTCACTGTTAATAAAGGTTTATCTACACATTCAGGTCTGAGAAACCCAAAATGGTTTTCTAAATATTAGGAAAGCTTACTTTCCACCTGGAACACATCCAATTGCTGCAGTGAACACAGTAAGCAGCCCAACACCCATAAAAAACAGGATAAGCCTAAGAAAAAATATAGTCATTATACATCAATGTAACTTCTGATGGCGAATGAACTTTGCAACAAATAAAGTTAAAAGCTAAATTTTACTTTAATTTTTTATTATTGTTACTTCTGTGTCAAGATGTCTTTTGATAGTATTACCACTACTGAAGCATTTCAACACTAAGCAACTTATAAAATCATTTCATGTTGACAGTTCTTGAAATATGCATAGAAAGCATTGATAAAAATTTCTATCTGACTTTAATGATATCATATGACAAGATCAACTAGTGGTTTAACAATTGTACTCAGCTAAATCTCTAAATCTCTAAAAAGACAAAAACAGAGAATTCATATTCATGACATACGCGGAATTTAATTTTAAAATATATATTTTTTAAAACAAGCTCAAGATTGTATATTTTAACTTTACACATCAATTTCATAAACATAACTCATACACAGAGAAACTTAAGTTTATGGCGATTAAATAGATTATCTACAGAACTTTTTACAATATCATGAAAACATTTTCCATAAAGTTAAAAAGTATTATTTCAGAAAAATACTAGGTTTATAAAAAAAGTGCTATTGAAAAACTAACTGATTAACTTTTCTGTGTGGATCAACATGCACATCACAACCTTTTATAGAGTTACATTCAAAATTTAATTAAACTTTATTATCAATGTCTGTTAATACGCTTGGCATCAAAATGTAGTTTATAATTCAAATTTTAACATTATCTAAGTTTCAGTTTCTTAATTTCAAAAGAAAATATTAAGATAAAATTTATCATATTTCACTTTCTGTGTGATGTAACCAAGTGCACTCTCAATTCTCCCTTTTCAATTTTATATCTTTGATAATATAGCTTCTCTAGTGTCTAACCAATTAAAAACACAAACTATAAATAATGACAAGCTAAGATATAAAAGTTCAACCAGGATTTTAATACATTTATGAAACCCACCAGAAAAGCCTTACCCATCTTTTGGTGCATTTCAAAAAAATTATTCACTGATGCCTACTTGTCTGATGGACATACTGTAATGTACAGGAATCTTAAGCTTGTTTAATTTTGGCACTCAAAGACAGTAACTTGCAAGAAAAGGTTGATATGTGTGGAGTAATTGTTGTTCCAAGCAGCAATTAAATTTTTCATAACTTAGAAAGCCAGAAAAATTATAGTAGTTTTGAAACATTTTTTTCAGTGTCTAATATGTTCTTCTGTTCTAAATCACATATCTGAAAGCTATATGAATTATTTTTTGGACATCGAACACAGTGAGAAAAAAATCCAGCATCCCAGTGTAAACAGACTACACTCTAAAGTAAGTGTTAAATGTCTTGTTTTTCTATATATTTTTTATTCATTGTTATATGTTTTTAATAAAAGCAACTAAAATATAAAAATAAAAACTTCTTAAGTTATGTAACAATACCTAAATAAAATGTAATTTGATGAGGAAACCAGAAAAGCTCTCATGGTAAGCAAATAACTGTAACCTGATTACTTGTTTACCTTCAGCTGTACCAAAAAATATTATGCTGTAATTTATTGCTTTTCATGCACAGAGATGGTCCAAAGTACAGTAATAAAACTATAAAATGAAAATAAAGCAGACATGAAAATGTTAGACGCTGAAGCTGTAAGAATAAATAATTGTAATCATCTGTTACAATCTGCAGTCATTCTAGTATAATATTGAGTATATTTCACATTTTCAACTTCTTATTTCACTTTATATTGGTGATCTTGATACAGTTAGTGTTAGGGTAAAGTAAAAAGAGATAAAACAAAGTTTCTCCAAAAATCATTTGATATTCATTTAGGAGGTTCTAGAGTTTTATACAACTGAAAGAAAACAACTTAAAGATGAAAAGAAGTACTTTTATTCTTAGTATTAAAATCAACTTTGACTCAGACTGACTCAATAATGGTTCAATCAATTCACAGAAAAACCTATAATAGAAATAAATTATCATAAAAAGCTTGCCAAACTTCTTGAAGATACACTTAGTAATATAATATTTATAGTTCACATATTTTCACACTTCCAAAGAGGGTCAAAATGAACAACTTCACATGGACAGAGCTAAGGAATTAACAAAAGATAGAAACCAACTAGGTTTGATAGGCCAAGCTGGGCCCATCATTACTAGTCAGGTTTTTTATAGTATGTTAATTCTTTAATCATTTACATATTATTACCTTGGTGTATTACTATTATTTATGAATTTGCATAAAGTACTCCTACAATAATTAAAGTTTTCTTCTACTGTCACTAAAGCAAACAATTCAAACATGTGTTCCTACCTCCCTGGTAGGAGAATTAAGTATCTCAAGCAAAACCCAAGTCCCCACATCACTGTCACTTTCAAACTGTTACAAGAAATAAAAGTATATATTTTCAGTTAAACAATATCATTTCTTGATATCTCATGACACATGAAAAACAATTACTTAAATATGATCTTTATTCAGAGTTCATACAGTATAAATACTTAAATCTGGGGTTTTACAAGATGTTTAAATACAAACAGTAGCTGTATTTAAATCATCACATTAGCTACTATAACAAATTTGACTATGTATTAAACTACACTACAAAATTCAAGTGAAAGATCATACAACTCACATATAAATTTGTTTAGAATTACAAGGATATATCATTAAAAGTTTTCAAAAAATAAATGTTACTTAAAAGGTAACGAGTCAGAAAAAACAAAAACAATTACTTATAAGAAAAGATTTTGTTGTTAACTTCAAGCTAATGAAAACATTCTTGATATTATACTGTCCTTAGTATTTTCACTTCAGCCATTAGATTGTGCTTAAAATGGCTTGGTGAACACTAGGCAATAGTTTGTTTTTAAATTATTATAATTCATATTATAATCTTTATCCATTTTTTGTTGTTAAATATTTATACAAATAGACATTTTTGGGGATCTCTCTTTAATTGAGAAAGAAATTCTAAATCAAAAGAAAACTACTACAAAAAATGTGTTTGGATTATGAAAAGTGGTGCATTTAGGAAAGGGAAATTTGAAAATAACTTATTGTTCATGCAAGAAAAGCTGTAAACACAGAAAGATTTTGGGACCTAATTAAAGAAATTTTGAAATAGAGTACTAAAGTTTATTGCCTCCCTGTATAAGACTATAGTAGAGCATGTTTAAAATGCTGTATTTAGTTTTTGGTAAGAAACAAAAAACAGATGCACACTTACTTTATGTACATGTAGTTCTTGTTTGTTCTCGTCAGTAAGTTCCATGATGGAAGCTCTTAAAACAAGAAAGGCATATGTAAACCAATTTTATGAGCTTGCAAAATATATCCATTTTTTGATGTGATAACAACATACAAAAAAAACATTTCTTATTTAAACAAGAAAGTAGAGATCAAGTAAAAATCCTTATTCTTAAAAAATATAGTTACTTTTTCTAGTAAATAACAATTTGTGAAATTAAAAAATTAGTATTTAAAATAATTCAAATATACTACTTCAAAAAGGCTACAGAACAATATTATTCAAGATATAGGTGAAATCTCTTTACACACACACAAAAAAACAAAAAAAAACATATTATTTATACAATGGTATCAGTATAAAATTGTGATCATAAAGACATGGTTTACTGTTCTCTCCACTAACTTACACTGGGTAACAAACTTTTGTGCACAACTTCTTTTATAAGCTTGTAACCAAAAATCAAAAAGATGTGTTGAAGCATTCTTGGTGTACTGTGGAAGGTAATACAACTAAAACAGCAAATTATTTAGAAAGTATCACAAAAGTTATATTATCAATAAACACAATGTAGCAAACATCCCAGGGCAAAAAAATCAATCACAAAATCCCAATACACAAAACAACCTTTGGAGCTCATGTCTATCATTACAACAACAATTTTGGCACTCTCTCATTTGGTACATTGTTTTACCTGTATCTTCATTTAATTCTGATCTCTGATACCATACTTTAGTTTAGTTTTCAGTTAAATTATTCATTACTTTCTCACCTTCAGCAGAAAATCTTTGTGTTACTTCATCCTCAATTATGGCCTGCAATTACAATATAATTAAATTTTTGTTTCTTCAGCTCTTATAAATACAGGTACACATTTTGATAAAACATTAAAATAAAAGAAAATGCTATCTACTTTTTTAAATTTAAGACTGTATTGAATTATTATTTAAATCAACTTGGGTAACTCTAACTCTGCTGTGCATACAGAAACTATATGAGAGTTGTAAATGCAAAAAACCAGAATAAAATGACAAATTGATTTAAAATAGGTATAAGAATAACACAAATAAACACATATTTATTTTGTTGCTTTTGACACAATGATTGACCATTTTAACTCTTTTAGTGTCAAGGGCACATACATATCCCCATTTAGACCACTACCACAGGGAAAAACACACAATAAAATGATAAGAACACACTAAGTAATCTTTGTTTTAACCTTGAAAAGTGGAAGATTAACAACATGTCAGTTTGGAATTTTGCATCACCATCTTCAAACTTTCCAAAGTTTACCAGTTTCAAGTAAGTAATAAAATATCATGTGTCTTTTTGTTTTTTGGGTAAATGTACATGTATTGTGACGGCCTTGTTCTATAAGTGTAATATGGCAATTAGGTAATCTACAATAAATAGCCTCGACTAGCTCAATAAAGACATAAGTAATAATGGGAACTGTTGATTCACACAAAAAGACAAGTTACAAAATGCAATTCATGAACACTCATCTTATACATCAAGCTTAGGCACCAGTAGATTGAAACCTACATGGTAATGCCTACAGAAGCAATACTAGATCACAAGATAATTGTACAAAATGATATACAAAACTTGCAAGTTATTATTAATAGAAATGATATCTGTGTAATGAAATAAGGGTGTAGTTATATGATAATATATGTCATGTTACTCATATACTGATTATATGCCAATTCTTTGACTTTGTTTTTCTGGATAACTCAGTAAAGCTAATATTAGAGCTGGGAAATTAACTCAATACCTATGAGCATTGATTAGATCAATTAGTGTCAGGTAAAGTAATCAATTAATTTAAACTAGTGTTTCTGATCATTACTATTTTTGATCATTCCAACAACCCAACTAATCGAAATACTGTTATTATGATTTCTAATTATTATACTCAGTTAATTCAATGTTAATCCAGATAATTGATTAGTGTCATGACTCATAAAAATAATCAATTGATTAAAATAATATTTCCAATTATTACTACTTCTGATTATTTTAACTATCTAAGTCTCATGTGAGAATAATCAGTTAATGAGTCAGACAATTGATTAGAAAATTCCACTAATTGCCCAGCTCCAGCTAATATATAGGGGTGGTCAATTCATATTGCCTGAAGCTTAGGACAAGTTTTACCATTAATAATGGAGACGACTTGAATGGGTAATGAAAAAAACTTTAATACAAAGTTAATATAACAGCAAATGAACAATGTTTTGATAAGGTTTCGTCATCATCAGGTGATGATGAGAAAACTTTGTCGAAACGTTGTACATTTGCTGTTATGTTAAACTTATATTAAAGTTTTTCTTCATTATCCATTTAAGCCGTTTCCAAACATTATTAGTCTCAAAGTGGGTTCCTCATCATCGAATTTAAAGTTTTACCATTATACTTTATCTGTCAGACAAACACTTTTTTACTTTATTATTTCTTAATACAACTTTTAAATTACTATGTTATTGTCATTATAAGACTAAAACAGGAGTGATGCACTTGAAATATATATACTACATAAGCATACTATGTAAAATCAACTTGTGAATGGAAATATATTATCAGAGGCTGTGCTACCTTTACAAAATTGCATTTTTAAACACATGCTTTTAAAAAACACTATATTTTCAACCATTTGGTTACATCTTTTATATATTGCATCAAACTAATTAATTTCTGATTTAATATTATTTTGAATTAATTACGTTAACATCCAAACTGCAATGTATCACCTAAAGTGCCTATTGCCAAGCACTTGCACATATACATTAGAACAGCATCAGTTAATTTTATAAAATACAACTTGATAATTATAACTTTATGTAACGAGCAAGAATAAAACTAGACTGTCTGTTCAGGTAGTATAAAACTGTTTAATTTCTATAAGCTAACTGCTGTAATGTTTTATTTTTACAATAATAGTATGATACATGTCAAGATATCTGTTTAACACCAAAATCAAACTTTCCTTATTTTTTTACAGGAAAGAAGAGAAATTCCCCTATACTAATATAGTGGTTTGGATTAATAAATGTTGACCCATATAGTCCTAAAGTAACCTAAATAAGTTAAAATAACGTTAGTATATTCTGTGATATAATTTTTAATTATTATGGCTTTAAAATAGAAAGTTTAAAACCTAATAGGGAATAAGTTACAAGAAAACTTGGTCTAATCAGATAACATCAGCTTTCCTGTGGTGACAATGCTGTTTAAATCCTCCAATGGGGATGGGGGTTGTGTTGTGGCCTAATAAAAGGTTAATTTGCTTTATGATAAAAACTCCTATGGTTTTTGGAAATATGCATCCAGGCCTTTTTTTTATTTTTAAGATGATGTTTGGAGTAGTGGGATGTTTTTCATGTTGCACAATATGAAAACTACTTTGTAATTTGAACCAGTAGATATTGTTACATTTGTGTTTTACAAATGCATTGCTGTTATTTTATTTTGCATTTTATTGAAATTTCCTGCATATATAATGCAGAATTTTTTGTTAATGCAACCTCTGAATATAGTGTAACTATGAAACATAACAAAATACTTCATCACATCACTTTTTGAACTAAATCCTCCACCTAATTAACTTAGAAGGTAACATATATATTACATGTACTGGCTGTACAGTAAATAAATGTGTAAAGAAACAGGCACATATTGAAAATGTGGGAGTCTAAATATTTTTCAGTATGTAAAATTGCATAAGCAAAATGGAAACAAAAACAGATATTAAGTCGAAATAAACAGCACTCTGCCAAAGTTAATACTTTCCTACACAGGAAATATAGTTCCAATAGATACCTACATCCTTTCACAGTTATAGCTATTCTCGATTTGACTGCCCTCTAATATGCAAGTGTTCGCCTTGGACTCCCACCAAATTCCACATTATATCACATGGTTCAGCTGTGTTTAAGCATGTAAATTAGCATGCGACAATCCTCCACCAATAGGAGTGCAACATACTCTCCTACTACAGCTGACTCCCTCTATGCAATTGAACCCAACCTTCACTTTGAGATTACACACGAAAAACAACACTGGAAGTGGGGAGGATGGGTGTGAAGTGTGAGAGAATGTATGAAATATATTTTCAGTGTGGGAAAATATCAACTTTTGATACAATTATTTACCTCCTCTCACAATTACAGCTAGAATCCCACATTGAGCATGTGAAGGGGGCCAGTGTAAAATTACCTTAATAAGCACCCTTCAAAAGCATCTGAAGAGCACCCATGGAGTGTGCCACATCTATGAGAAAACACACAACATCTAAACCAGGTATACTTTTTGCTCAAGAGGAGCCAACTGGTGTTGTGTCGCAATCAAAGGGCATGTTACATATGGAATTGTCCAACGAATGCAACGACACAGGCAACAAATGAAAGGCAAAGTTATGTTACTTTGGAATAAAGTTTAATGGATAAAACAATGAACAAAATTACACTTACTTTACAAGACACTGGATTTTGAACCTTTGCTGGAGTTTAATGGTGCTAGTCCCTGATTGAATGTTATAGTGACTCCTTTCCATGATCCTTTAAATTTTCCTGTTAATGGAATTTGTCCTTGGTCCTTTTTGTCTTCTTCTGTAGTTCTTGAGATTCTTTATTACTATCCAATACCAAATAACCAGCCAAAAAGTTAACAGTTGTCACAAATGCCCATGGTATAGTAATATTACCCAAGTACGAATGTAGCTTTTCAGAACAAAGAAAAAAAAACCCTGTCTACACTTCAACCTCGCTATTTATAGGCATCCACAGAAATACCAGCACATTCTACAATGTTATTGGCCAACCCCAGTGTCATAAGCAAAAGTTGATCTTTATAAATACACATCATTCAGCATGGGGGGGGGGCACTAATATTTACATACATATAAGAGGCAGAACAAGTGATTCATCCCAAATCCAAATAGAGGAGGAATGTGTGTAGTGGCTATGGCTTGTCGGACCATAATCAGGAGGTCAACTCCAGCCCATTGGTACTGGAAGAAACTTGACCAGCCTCTGGCAGAAGGAGGGTGTAGGAAGCAGAAGGGAAGAGGATCCTCTCTTCCAAGAACCCAAACCAACATGTGTGCAAATCCAACACAACCTGGAACAGTAAACCCTGGGAATGTATATACAGATGACATCAGGAAGGTGGAAAAGTAACACAGGGGGTCAATTCCAGTCCAAAACCAATCAGCATTAGGGTAGTAACATCCAGTCTGCCATAGGAAGAAGTTTTCAGTCCACTCACATGTGAAGACTTATGCTGGCTGGTCCAGTTTCAACCAAACCCAGCTGCCCAGGGACCAACATCCAGGCAGTAGGAGGGAGGGTTTCCAGCCGGAGGGATAAACTGAAAAATAGACCGAAAAATCCTGTCCAAACTTGCAGCATCTAAAATAAAACATCAGGCCCAAAGCATGAGGATAGTCATGGCTTCTACTCGGGAAGAATACCAATGCCCCACTCTCGACTGAGTGGAACTGTGCACATTCAGGAGGGTTTCTCCATGATCCACCACCCCAGTGGTTAGGAGCTGGGAAATGGTAAGGATTCCTGTATTCCACTGGAAGAAGGAGGGAAGAAACATGTTGGAGAGTCCAGAGGTAATGCATCACCGGAGAAAGTGCAATGGGTGAACATTAAACCCTATTATGAAAAGCAGACTGTTCCTGATTCTAGCAATCTAAGGAATGTTAGAAATGGGCAGCAATCTCTTTCTGTTTTACTCATGTCAGTGCATGAGTGTATGGTCCATTACAAACATATTTACGATGCAAAATACCATGAGGATA